TTTACAAGATAATGACTCTGTTGATTTAATTAAAAATAAAAATAGCATATCTTATATTTCCTAATTTATTTTTTTTTAATTATATACCTAAATTTTAATTCTAAATTTCAAATTCCCCTACAATTCTACCTTTATAAGTGAGTTGCAACTTTATTCTTAAAACTCTACCTTCTTGAGTGGCGTGCATTTGCCAAGGTTGTCGTCTTCATTTTGCTGAGTTGTCGTCTAGGTTGTCATCTTCATTTTGCTGGGTTTATTCTTAAACACATAATATGGGTGTCGACACCATGGGTTAATAATCCAGAATCAAATTTTCTATTTCCTATTTTGTGTCGACACGTTATTCAGGGTGTCAGTATTATACGTTTAGTGTCCAACATTCAAGTTTCTTATTATGTTTCAAATCCTACTTCTGTTTCAAATCCTACTTGTATTCCAATTAGGGTTTCTAAAACCTTATAAATACTCATCCAAATTTAGAATTAAAAGAGCTTGGGAGGCTGGTGGCAGCCATCTTTTGGGTAATCTTTTGGGTATTCTTGGAGATCAAGATAAAGATTTAAAAATTTGTTTATAATTTCTAAATCTTTTCAATTTTTACAATTGTAAAAGAGTATAAGAATTTGTTTATAATTTGTACGTTTTTTAATTATGTTTCTATTTATTTGGATATTAACGTATTTTATATTTATGTTTTTTACTTAATGTTAAATTTATTTACATTATCTTATATATTTAATACTGTTAAAAATTGATCAATCCGACTGAACCACACCGATCCGATTTAAATTGGATTGGTTTGGTTATCATATAATAGTGGATTGGATTGGTTTAAAAATTTTACTAACTGATTAAATTGGATTGAATTTAAAAATATTAAAATCCGAACCAAACCACACCGTGAACACCCCTACCTAACAATATAGAGTATGAAAGAAAGATCAGTCATAATAATTCTTAAAAATTATAAGAATCTCTTAAATAATAGATACAAAGTTTCATTGAAACATCGATTAAGAAAGTGAAAATTTTAAAAGAGAGAAAAGAGAAACAATGTATTTTAAATTATTGATGGTTAGAAGAAGAAAAGATAGTTAAAGCATTAAAGGAATTTTGGTCATTTAGAAGATAAATGATTTAAATTTACTTATTATAACAAATTAATTATAATTTATTATCTCTTTAATATTATATAAATTTTATAATATATGTTTATATTTATAAGCATAATTATAAAAGTTCATATTTAATTTATAAAAATATATTTTTATAATGATAAATTTAAAAT